TATTAAAACTTTAGCCGCGATCCTCCCAGTTACTTGGCTCTTAGCTTTGAAATAACGCCAAACTTTCGCATTATCAGGTTGGACGTTTTTTGTATATCCCGTCTGTTGGTGAAGTTGGGAATATTTTTACAAACTCAAAAGTTCAATTATTAAGACACTTTTTAAGCCACGATCCTCTATTTTCCTACATTAACTTCATAAATTTTCTTAATTTCCTCCCAAATCGTTTGAATTAATGATGAGCGGTGGCTAAACTATTTACAAAAAGTTCCATGCGTGGGCCGTTGGCTATGAACTTGCAACCCTATTCAATTCGCCTGCTGCCGTCGCTTTTTAGTATTTTGTTGTATTCTGAACGTGGGATAAATAATTAATTGTAGAATAAAACTTCGTTCTTTAATTCCATTAATGTTTAAGGTCTTTAATGAAGTTGAAGAGAAAATTCAATTTAATGGATTTCTCTACAAAAATTGTAGGTGCTCAATTCCGATCTTGATGTACTGTTACGTAATTAATTCATTAACGGATCTCTGTCAGTGTAATGCTAATTAAATATTAACTGAGAAAGTATGTCTATAGGAACTTATTTTAAAAGGTTAAAAGTACATCGATTATAAATGCCTACTTCATGTTTCGTCAAGTGATCTCATATTTAGACGATACCTATATTGCTTTTCTCGTAAATTAACCATATTCGTATTTATTTGTGTTTGGTGGTGATAATGCATAATAAACGTAAAACTTTATTGGAATGGACTGTATTATAAAATACGTAAATACGTAGTTTTAACAAAACAACCTCTTCTTACGAAGAGTAAAATCTATCTGCCACGCGCAGGTAGCTGAGGTAGCGTCCCACAGACAACCCTTAATTTTGAACCTGTTTTCGGGTTGCTGGTGACTAATACCTAACATGCCGGCCCCCTTGAAACATAGGAGCTTTCAAAACAATATTAATTATGAAACACATATAAAAGTACTATCATATGAATTATGAAAAATACAAAGCATAACTCTAAATTGTGATGGAATCTTAAATTTTAACCTAAACTACTTAATCACTAATGTCAGTAGGCAATAAACAAATTTTGTTTAACGCATTTTGTTTCACTATTACGTGTTTTGACACTCACGGTGCGCACTAATCCGTCACTGCCTTTATGAAGAACTGTAATTCGCCCTAGCGGCCAATGGCACGGTGGTTGGTTATCTTCCTTCAGGATCACGAGTCGTCCTATCAAAAGTTCACAATTCGATTGCACAAACTTCCATTTGTTCCGTTGCTGGAGGGTATGCAGATAATTCCGCGTCCAAAAATGCTGCGTTAGTTGCTGGATTTGATGGTATTTAGCTAGTGAGTTGAACTTTGCCGTTTCTTGTTGTTGCGGTAATGCATTTAATGGAGAGCCAATTAAAAAGTGACCCGGGGTTAAGGGTTGTAAATCATGTGGGTCTGATAATAATTCGGTGAATTGATAATGGCTTCTACTTGAACAATTAAGGTATAAAATTCTTCAAAGGTGAACGTGCCCTGATTTGTCACCAAGTAATATTTAACATTTTTTACAGAGGCTTCATATAAACCGCCTCTGTGGGGCGATCTCGCTGGAATGAATTTCCATTCAATCTTATTGTCAATTACATAATTTTGAAATTTAGGTTCTGATACTAAGCCCTGTATCTGCTTATTTGCGCTTACAAAGTTAGTAGCGTTGTCTGATACTATTAAATTGCAAAGACCTCGCCTTGAAACAAATCGTTTTAATGCGTTTAAAAAACCATTGGCCGTCAAATCTCCTACCAATTCCGGCTTTTGTACATAGGCACACAAACAGGCAGATATATGCTTTGACTTTTATTCGATTTCTTGTCTTTCCATCCTTCAATTCAAACGGACCCGCGTAATGTATCCCTACGGACGAAAAAACGCGAGCCTGTCTTACTCTATAATATGGCAATTCGCCCATTTGCTGTGGTAATAATGATGGGTTCGCCTTAAAGCATGTGACGCATTTTCGCAGCACACTACGAACTGCTTGGCGACCGTTAATTATCCAATAATTTTCCCGCAAGCTGCACAATATGGATTGAGCCCCAGCATGCAAATTTCGATGGTGCTCATTTTTTATGATGAGGATTGTGAGTTCGTGTTTTGACGGTAGAATTATCTGATGTCTTTGTGAAAACGGTAGCAGCGATTTTTGTAATCGACCCCCTACTCTAATAATGCCGTTGTTGTCTATGAATGGACTTAATGAACTTAACGTACTAGAGTGAAGTACCTGCTTTTTATTTTTTAAACGCTTCAATTCCTCCGAGTAACAATCTCGTTGCGTTATTTTTATTAATATTGTAGTTGCCCGCTCTATTTCCATTACGGTTAAATGTTCTTTTAATTTTTGTTTATCTTTGCAGTTGTGAATAAACCTAAAGACATATGCGATGACGTGTGTCAGTTTTGATAAATTTGAAAATCGTTTGAATATGTGACACGGGGTTTCCTGAACAGTTAACGTTATGATGGGTTTTAATTCGACCTGGTATGCTGGTGACGTTTCTTGAAAGTTATGTGATTCGTACGTGTTTTGCTTTAGCCAGGACGGACCCTCCCACCACAAATTACAATTTTTTAAATCTTTGGGTTTCATGCCCCTTGAGATAAGGTCACTTGGATTGTCTTGAGAATTTACATGTTTCCATGTACCCCGCATGAGACTTTGAATCTGCGCTACCCTATGACTTACGAAAGTTTTCAATTTGGACGGATCCGTTCTAATCCATGACAGAGCAATCGTGGAATCTGACCAATAATAAATATGATCTATATTAAGGTCTAATGCGTTTATTGTCTGAATGACTAATTTACTTAAAAGTAATGCGCTGCAAAGCTCTAGCCTGGGTATCGTAATGGGCTTGATGGGACATACGCGGGATTTTCCGCATATTAGTTTCGTAGAGCTATCCCCCTGTTGGTTTTTTGATTTTATGTAAATGCATGCTCCGTAAGCTAGCGTACTGGCATCACAAAAGCCATGGATTTCTATTGCATTATGGTTAGAGAGTATGACGCGTCTGGGTACTTTTATTTCCCTTAAGCATGATAATTGTTCATTCCGTACGTGACTAAGTTATAAAACTTTAAATTTTCAGAATTATTGTCCCGCCAGACGATTCTTTGTAATGATCTCTGAGAAGGGTGGATTAGGATTTGCCTATACCTTTTTGTGATGTCGGCTAAAATTCTGATGCTTTGCTTTCGGGACCGCGTAACAATAGTGAAAAGGTCGTCCTGTATTGTCGGCCCAACTAACAGTACCTAACTCGTTTAGGGATAATCCGCTTGACGATTTGCATGACGCATCGAAGACTACCCTACATTTTGTAGTAAGACTGGAATTTTTCAATACGCTATGATGCGGCAGGTAACAGGTAAAAGGTACCTTATCATGCACACTTATTTCCGACATGTGGCCTAACTGAATATATTCCTTAATGAACTTTATGTACTGTGCGCGTGTTTCCTTATTTTTTGTTAGTTTAATTTCATTGCTAATAAATCTTGATATCGCTATACTCCGTGTTTCCCCTAATTTATCTAAATCATCACTAAATGGCAGTTTAACTATGAATCTACCCGTTGATTGTTCGCGTTATAAAGTGCTGCTCATACTCGAGATCGACATTAGATAAGACAGGAGATTTTGGACATTCCTCTACTTCCCAAAATTTTTCAAGCTGTGCCTGAATCTCTACATTTGTTTCCAAAAAATACTGCTGCTTATTTGAATTAATGTTAACCCGTCCCGATAAGATCCACCCCAATTTTGTTTCTTGTAAGGTGGGCATATTTCTTCCCCGTTTAATTTGATTTGAACCTAATAAATCTAGAAAAATTTCGGCTCCTATTAAAAGGTCAACGGTGTCTGCCTTATTAAAAGTCTCATCGGCGAGTTGAATATGTTCAGGTAGACACATTTGGGTGTCGTCAAAACTAAATTGTGGTATATTTCCTGTAATTTTTTCAATTATTAAAAATGATAGATCCGTTTGGTAGTTTGAATATCGCGATTTAAGAGTGGTATGGGTTTTTTGAGAAATACTTGAAAGTTTACCGCTTATTCCTGCACCTTAATTAAATAGTTGGATCCTGTGTATAACTAAACTGATTAAATTAAAACGTGCCGGTGCATTAAAAATGTTTCCAATTATAAGAATTGTTGCTGTATTTACCATAATACTTCCTTATACAATTCAGCAGCAATGTTTTGAAGAAAGTTCTCGTACATGTGAGTTTGAAAATGCAGTCGACAAAAAAACAATCACAGTTCCAAATTAAGTGTGGAATGTTCAGGGTTTAAACAGACATACGGACGTGCTCATCAAACTATCAATATGCGACTTCCCAGTAAACAAATACTATTACTTACATACTACCTCAATTTTATATCACAATGTTATTTGTTATGTAGCATATAACATCTCAAGTAACCTATTTTGATATCTAGATGTGATTTCTAATGTCACACTCAATACTACATGCAGTTTATATATGGAAGACAATACCAGAGTGAAAATAAAAAGGACGTAATAGGAAGCAACGGAAAAATATAGTACTTCTACCATTGCTTCCTATTCGGCGCATTTTTTGTTCTGGTATTCTCATTACCACTGAGCTGATCCTCAGCCAACTTTTCTCTATATGTGTCATCCGTTTCTTTGTCCATTTGTTTTTATACTTAGTCTGTGTACGTCCTTACTTAAATGCACGCTGAAATTATGGTATCAAACTGTGACATTTTCAGGTATTAAGGAATAACAAATCTAAATCGTTTAGAAGTAATGAAATGATGAAACAAATTAAGAAATTAATTATTTAAACATTTATTCTGAAGTCAACATAAGTAAATTCTAGTTATAACTCAAACAATATCGCATACATAACAAATTTTTAAAATAAAATTAATTGTGAAACGCGTAATTTGTAACTACATTATTTTTTATCCCTCTGAAACCTCTGTTTTGACAGACGGAACCATTCGCATGCATTCCTCTCCACGTCGCTCAACTGTATGAGGTTATTGTAGCGCATCATAACTGTGTCTAAAAATACTTGCATTTTATAAACAAAAAATAACTAAAAATTTCTAAATGTCAATTGTTATGCTTGTCACATTGAGAAATGCTCGTCAATGGGTAACGAGCTTTTATAAGTTATAACATCAGATACATACCTACTATGATTTGCATGATGCAAAGGTTTTGTACTTTAAAATTACCGCGCAACCCGAGCCAAGAACAATGAGTGCCTAGCTCGTTGGTAAAAGTACGTGACAAACATCGGTTGATATTGTCTTTCGGATCCCGGCCTCCTATATTTTTCATAAATTGAATCTAAAAAAAAAACAAATTTGGATCCGTGTAATATCTTGAGATATACAATGTGATCAAAAATGAGTGTCTGTGGAGACACCTTTGGAATTTTTGTTTACATAGAACTTCCAAAAGCGACTAGACGGACACTCATTTTTGATCGCCCGTTATGTATATATACACTTTATACCAAGAAAGTAACCAGAAATCAAATATAATGACAAAAAAACAATAAACATATTTCACGCAGCAATGTGCTAAAAATGTTATTTTAATACTTAGCAACATCTTAGTAAAAGTTAAATAAACCGCTACCCATATACTTACAAATGATTCTTTTAAATCGGGGGATTGGTTCAATTCATCTTCAAATTGTTTGAGCTTATCAAGATCAACTAATGGTAGCCATTTACAAAATTTTTCCTTCTGCGAAACATTAATCTCACCCTCTTTGAGAGACATGTTTCTTAAAATTTTATAAATATCATTAATGCACTTCTGGTTTTCCAAACATATGTATTTTAATCTCGATTTTAATTGATCAATAGAATTATGTAAATCTTGCACAGTAATATTGCCTGAAAAAGAGCAACAATTTTATTAGCTACACAGAAAAAATAGCATCTACCTTCAATATGAACTGGCAGCTCATTGATGTTAACAGTCTCTATTGCTAAGGGAGCGCCTACCGCTGTATTTTCTTGAACTGCAATATATTCAGTGCTATTGACATAATCGTCCACTGCTGCACCATAATTAAAATCTAGTTAAAAAAAAGTTTAAATTTGTGTCAATTGTATAATTAATATTTACTTGTTTCATTTGAATTCTCGGATAATGTTGATAACGGCTCAGAAGCAGAAGAGCACACTGTAGTACCACGCAGAATGTCTAGGAAAGGTAAACAATTTTCAATATTATCTTCAGTAACAAACCCGATACCTTACCAGCTTCGTTGTTCCCTAGCGTTGACCTTGTTGATGGTGGCATGCAACCTGGTGATGATGGTGGGGAACATTCATCGCTACTTTCATCTGTAGAAACCTGCTTTTTGGTTATCTTTCTATGACCTCGGCCCGCAAGTGTCACGTCCTCCTGTGTTGAAGTGTATTCGGGGTTTTCCGCTTTTTTCCTCGCACCTTCCAAAGTACCTTGAAATGGAGTTAACAATTTTTTGATTTTATAAATTGAAATATAATTCAAGAGAGACTTACTGGAATATCCTTCAACTTCGATGTCGTACAACTTCCACTGTTCATTTGGTTTTTCACTCTTCACCATGTACGGACGAGCATTCAGGCTATTCGGCCACCAACATTGACGTTTGTCACTTGTTAGCCAAACCGAAGGCACCTCCGAATAAATTTTTTCAGATGTTAAATAAACTATTGCGTATTTTTTCTCCAGCTTCTGTAACATAACATTTTCAAAAATCTTATGGTAGATCAGTTGCCTATAAACCAGGTACCAACTTACCCATTTTCTAAATTATGTCCTATCAATCAAGGACGTCTTCTTCTTATCACAGGAATTTTTGCGAAATAAAGGAAAGGTGGTGGATAATTTTAGGCAGAGAGACAGATTAGAACGTTGATTCCATGAGACTACTACCCAAATTTGTAAAATATAATTAAATATTTTCTGAATTATCAGGATTTGTTGGGTAGTAGCAAAATAGAAGCAGTATTTTGTTCTGGTGCTTAACAGTTAGTAGCGTTTTGCTTCTTACCCATATTTTGGGATTTACGGAATTTTAGGCCACATGTGTCACCACTGTGGGTAAGATAAACTCCTTATCCTCATATCATTAGTTAACGTGTTTTCCCTTTTAGCCAATATTAGATTAGAATTTATTTAATAATAATAATAATAATAATAATAATAATAATAATGTTTATTTCCAATGAACATCATATAGTACAAAAGGAAAAAGAAAAAGTACATTCAGATTGGAAAAAGGATCACATTCAGTGCGATATGCACTGCTCTTCCATGTGGCCCTACATCATGAGATATGAACTTGAACTAAACATGGTATATGGACAAATACATTAACACTCACACGCAAATCACTCCTCAGAACTTCCTAAACCAAAAATTTATGTTCAATACAGAAGCCCCTTAAGCCACAATAGAGAGTTGATCATCTAACAAAAGGAACTTTACTTGTCTTTTAAACGTAGTCATACTTAAACTACGTAGAGTTGGTGACAATTTATTAAAGATGTTTGCAACATTATAAGAAAACGATTTCTTAAAGAATTCGGTAGTATGCTTTGGAATTTCTAAAAGGCCCCTATGCCGAAGATTTAAGTTATGTACATCTGTACGATAGGTTAAACGTTGTGCAAGGTAGGAAGGGGTTAGAGTATTTATTACTTTGTGATATAGGACCACAGCATGAAGAAATCTCCTTTCCATCATATTTAGCCACCCAGCTTCCCTCACTTTATGAGATATGTGATCTCTACGTTTGATACCATATATGAACCGCAAACACGCATTTTGTACCCTTTGTATTCTAGTTTTCGTCGACGAGTCTATACAAGCCCCATATACAACATCGCAGTAATTAAAAAGTGATAAAATAAGGCTATCAGAAAGATGAATTTTTGTTTTGACATTCAAAATGTTCCTGTTTGGGTATAATCTCTTAAGTATTGAGTACGCCTTACGGGTACAAGAATTTACATGATCAGTAAATTTCAAATTATAGTCAAATCGAAGTCCCAAATTCTTTGCTACGTTTTGTACGCTCAGTTGATTGTCACCAATTTTTATGGCAATGAAGGATCTTACTTTTAACCTAAGTTTCCATATATATTTCCATATAAAAAACCATCGTACCAAGTTGTAACAGCCATAACATCTAGGTAGGTAGCTGTTGCCCGAGATGAAGTCGCTTATCGACTATTCTATTCTAGCTGTTTTAATTTTTTCCTTTAACTACGAGCATTCGTTGTCGACTGCACCACTCACACTCCTTCCACAGTTCCACCAAGGAATCAGGAGCATTTCTTGCTACTGAATATTTATTCAACTACGCCAGCAGACCGCAAAAGACCTCGGACTCCAACCTACGAAACTACCCCTCCCCTACGAAGGCAAAGGTCAGATCTATTACACTTATTATGTACATTACCATCTAAAGAAGACACGAAGTAGAATTATTATCATATCACCTCATTCGTAATAATCTTGTGTTTCAATTTTCACCACCAATTTGTCAGGGTTGAATTCGTTGGGTAAAGGTAAACGTTAGGTTATGTATTTATGTGTACCGGGTTATACAGGGTGCGGATAAATAGCCGGCTGTTTCCCAGGACCCGTGAGGAGCGCTCTTAATTATTCTTTGCATGTTGTATGAAACACTGTAGGTGAAGTGGTAAAGGCGAATTAACCTCTCTTTTTGCTCGTATAATAACATATTTTCCTATTTTGTAGACTACATATCGTGGGGTTACTGCCAAAACAAGATAACTCAATTTTTTTTATAATTTGAGTTAAGTACACTACTAATTTCAGAATAGTGCAAATTATATACTACCAAAAGGAGATAGCTCCAAAGCAAGTCTAAATTGTGTTTACACATGCGCCGAATTAAGATAACTCCATTATAGTAATAAAGAGTACAGCAAGAACCAGTCAAATGCAGTTCAGTAACCATCTAGTCTGCAAAAAGAACGTATGCGGTATGTGTCACTTATCCTACTTTGCCTGTTTAACTTTGTTCCATTTTGTTACAAAGTTGACTGCCTAAACAAATTATATACCACTTATCCTATTTTCGCTGTTGCAAATATATGTCCATAACCGATAACTGCCACTTATCTTATTTTAACTGTACCAGTATACACCTATTCAAACTACCTTCTGACCTCACTTGTCTTGTTTTGGTTGTAATAGTACTTACGAACATGTGCTCAACATAACCTGCATACGGCGGTGTTTCGGCTTAAATTTAGTGGTGTATAGTGAGTTTTTTTTTAAATTGCTAGCGTTCAATTCCAAAGAGTTTCATTATTACTTTAAGTCGTTGCCTTAGGCAAAGTGTGCCAAAGACACAATCCCAAAACCTGGTTTAGAAGACACTGATCCAGAGGATTTGGAGATAGATGACGCGGAAGAAAATTAAATTGATGTTTTTTACGTATACCTAATTTTCATTAATAGTTTTATTTTATTGTTTGTGTTTTGCATTAAAAATAGTTCCTTCTAAATTGGTGTACTCTTTTGGTTAACTCCTGAATGATTCTTAGGCAACCTGCAAAAATAAGATAAGTGCCCATTTTTTTTAAATAATTTTGTTTATCAAATTGTTTCTTCAGTTGATAAATACAAATAATAACATATCATTACAATTTATTTTTATTATAGCATATGCATGCTTGAATACTACTTTAATAATGATTCGCTGATTTATCCTGCGCATAATAAGTTACAAATCCACTTTACTCAAAACTTCAAACAAGTGACTTATCTTGTACCATATTTAAAAGCACTGTAACAATCTAAGGGACCGTGCAATTTAACATCATTTGCTAAATGTATGAGATTATGAACATTATATGTTACATTCTCATTTCCATAAAAAAAAGGAAATTTTTTGACAAAATAATGCAATAGTTTATTTGCGTAATTAATGTTCTCTATACTTTGATTAGGTGAGCATAGAAGTCTTATTGCAACGACAAAAGATAAAAAATGATTATAACATTTTGAAGTAAGAGCTTTTCTTAAAATAACGGGGCCTATATACAATAAAAACAACCGAAATTCTGTAGCCTTCCAGCGATCAAGATCATGTAAGCTCCTGGGTTTTCTTGTAAATTCACTACTAATAAATTTGTTCATTGCAAGATGTAGATTTTCTATTTCGTTAATCTGATTTTTTTTCAAACGTATCTCCATATTACCCTTAATCCATATTGTAAGCAAGCGTTTTGTCACTCCCAATAATACAAGATACATATAATCTAGTGGGAATTGGTTTACCATATCTATGCTTAAAGATTCTAAAATTGTGGTGCCTTTATGATGTTCAATATTAGTTCTACTCCTAAATGATTCATCTGTTCTTAAAGTGGAATTAATTTCTAAAAAAACCACTCTTCTTTCAACATAATCGCCTTCACATGTACACTTTGAACACCCAAAGTAACCCGTATGGTTTTTAGTACTTGTTACAAACGCTTTTGCAGGGGCATCGCAAATAACACAATTAAGTTTGACAAAAAAGGTTTTACCATGGACACATATGCCATTAGTCTCAAGGTGCTTATATTCTTCGACAAATAGATTCAAAAATTCATTTACATTTGTTGGCTTTTGGAATCCATGAAATATTCCAATTACAAATGGAGCTGTATATAAATCACTGTCCTTAAGTAATAGATCACCTAAGATCGGCCAGAACTGACTGCCGGAGAACTTAGTTAGAGGCAAACCATCAATATTAATGTTTAATTTTATCTCACGATCGTTAACAACTAAAGAAAAAGTGCTAGGAACACTTAAAATACGTTTTATGTGATCTGTTAAGCCAATATGCACATACTGGCCACCATCTATACCAGTAATCTTTTTATGACAATTTAATGGGGTTTTCATTAATGTTCTGGCATCGTGGGGTAAATCAGAATGCTTGTGTTGATGTAAAACAAATAATAAATCATTGATAAGTTGTTGCGAAGCATTATGTTTTCTAAAACAACCTGCTAGATCATTAGAAAGTGATGTACATTCATGTACAAATTAAAAGAAAAATAATAAAATTGTACAATAACTTCCCTTTGATTGATGAACTGCAGCACCAGCAGATATGGGGTTATGTGCAGACGCTGGGCAACGAACTTCGTATTTTAAGACGAAAGATAAACCACAAAATCAATTGTTCCCGATTTCAATTTATAATTTTTAATACTGTACTACTTGCTATTCTCCAAACAAAATAACCACCAATAAACGAAAACGTTAAAGCCGCCAAAAAGTGCATCAACATCAATGAAATATAACCAATTTATGTAAAACGGTGCCTTATAAATGATCTCTCTGGTATGTAAAGATAACCAAATTGTTTACTGGGTTAGGGTCTTCTATTCCCGATTGCGATGTAGGGGCGACTGTATGTACCGTGAACAAAAAGAAGAATCGCTACATTATCAAAAATGCGGGTACTTCTTTTATTTATACCAAAGATGATACCGAAGCAAATATTTTCAAGTCGATTAATGGAGAATTTTGCGATGGCGAGGAAAGGTTTACGACTATCATTGAGTTTAGTAGATATCCATAGGTCGCTGGTTCATATCCGGCTCGAAGGACCAATTTTTGTTTGGTGGTGATAATGTATAATAA